TCCATAATCTAGCACTTGGACTTTTAATCAATCTTTTAAAACTAAATATCCAAGATAGCTTTAGCTTATGAAAGTTCATGTACTGATGGTCTCTATGTAAAGATAAATATAAATATTCTCATTCATAACATATAATACCTATTTGAGGATTATGAAAATCTTATCATTTCCAGCCCCAAAAAACCCCAGTAAACTATAGTAGTCAACGTACTACATTTCTAATAAAACTAACTTAGGAAAAAACAAGTACAGAAAAACAGACACAGAAAAGATTGATACAGAAAAATATTTCTCAAATTTTTCTGTAATATTCAACAACCACTACACATAGGGGTTTTCTGTAAACCTGCATGTAGATTTAAAAGGCCTAAAAGACCATTTTTGGCAAAAACCTAAAAGACCTTCATAAAAGAGTACATTTAATATAGAACTATCCTGGAAAATGATACATTCCTGTCCTTTTGTTTTACAGACATAAATAAATAGATATAATAAACTGCTTTTATTTCAACACTGACAAAGTCATCAACCACCCATCTTTTAGACAGTAAAAATAAAAATATTAAACCACTTGGATCAGTTTCAAAATATTAACATGCTGGTTTTAATTATCTTCAGGACATTTCTGCTCAAATACACAATTAACTTACCAAGAATTACATATATAATGTCCTATTTTATCTAGCAAAGCGTTCAACAAAAGTAAATGCTCATAAAAGCTAGAATTTTACACTAGCAGTAAAATTTTAATCATTTAGGTTAAATCTTTTGACTATCACACAGGTTTCTTCTCCCTTCTTATTCAAGCAGAATATAATGATGGCGGTTCATTTCTCACATTCATTACACTGAACCACTCATCACTGGACTGTAATACGGTGCAGCTGATGACTGGGGCTGCTGAAATGTGGCAATCTAGCTACTTCTTATAATTGGTCTCAGGCTATTACATAGTTTAAGTTCTTATATCTTTATATCCTTTGATGTCAGGCTATCAAGTTGTTTCATCCTGTCATGCTTAGAGAAAATTACTTTTCGAGGCCTTCTCTGTTAAGAGTTATTCTTAGTATGTTGAAAAACTAAAAGGAGACACAATAATTTTAAAGCAAAACTCAGTATTATTAAAAAACTAAAGAATAAGATTTTAAAATTCATATTAAAAACAAGAATAAATGAACCTACAGAGAATCTCCTAAAAGAAAAGTTCATAGGCATTTAAAAATTCAGAGTGGACTTTTTTTCATCAGGTTGGGGGGTGAGGGGAGTGAGATATAGAATTCCCTACTTTTCTGGCCATTTAAGAAAGTGGTCAGACACCTACACACATGCTAAACAAATGAGGGATTAATAACATAGCTCACTAGATAAACAGAAGCATTTAAAAGAAAAGGCAATTTTTGCTGAATGATACTAAAGACTACTAAAACTTACATCTGTTACGTATGCCTCAGTAATTGGAGGACCCCGAATTGGGCTGAAACGTTCCCCAATGCTCCTCACCACAGTACTGAATACCCGGAGAAGCGCTGCCAACTTTGGTAAGGACACGGATGGAGGTGGAACATCTTCATCCACTGACTCCCCAGAGGCCACATGGCTGAGGTCCTAGATGTGAATTCAACACCATTCTTATTTAAGTAAGACATTGTTTAAAAAACAAAAAACAACTCCCAATTTTTAAATCAATTAACTTTATAATACATTTTTACAAATAAGGAGGAATTTTGGCTTATGAGAAAAGGAAACATGAATCTAAGTATAAAAGTAGATTTTGCTTCTCTAATTATTTAAATAAGCAAATATTAACCTCAATAGATTCTTTGAGCCACTCAAGTCAACAGTATACTAAGCCAATATTATTCACATGAAGAGCAAGGGGGGTTGGGGGAGTTTAGAGGAGGTTGGTTTAAAAAATTATAAGACCTTAGAAGACCTAGCCTACAGATTTATAAGCTAGCTGAGGAAATTAGACATACTCAAAGGAAAAGATTAGCAAAAAATGGGGTACTACAACCAACATATACCTACACATATGTAAGCACCAAAATAATCAAAGAGAATTCAATCTTAGGGATAGCAAAGGGAAGTCTCTACAAACTAGAATGGGTGGCTTATCAGAAGCAGATCAGCTTTAAAGGTGTGCTAGGAACCAAGACATCCTAGGCATAGGGGTAAAGAAACATGTGGAAGCAAAATATTCCCTCACTTTTCTCTGAAAGGGAACAGATAGATTGGTACAGTTAAAAGTAGTGAAGTAACTGTTTGCTAGAAGTAGCAAAAGTATAAAGAAAAGATGAAGCTAAATCTTCACGGAAGCCTTGACCACCAAACAAGAATCTTGGTAATTACCAACTGAGTAGGGAAGAAACACTAAGATGGCAGGTTTAAGTCAGGACAGTGGCCAGGAAATCCAAGAACCAATAACAGACACTTCAACAGCAGTATTAAAGGTACCATACTCAAAGGTGGCTGAAGCCAAGCCTTGTCCTCCAAAGCATGATCCAAGATTGCCAATAGAAGTAAGAGAAAAAAGCCTTTAGGGGCTTTTATACAATATCAATTCACCTTTTTCATAACAAAAAATAAGAAACAACTGAAGAAAATGTCTTCAGGAAACTACCAGCCACCAAGATTATTTCAAGCTTTGGGAAATTAGGCCTGCAATTTTTCTATCTTTCTGGTAATTCTGCTGGCAACTTAAAAACATCTAAAAATAATTAAAATATTGCAATGGTCTCATAATTTTTGCTTAAATGTCAGGTGATCTGAATTGTTTTAAAATAAATCTAGCACTGCTTTAGATTTTTGTTTTTGCTTTTTTCTTACCTGAAATTTTAGGAAATAACTTCATTTTTTATATACTCACCTCAGCATATGCCTCCATGTCCTCTAGAAACTGACCAAGAAGAGTGGTAGAAAATGCAAGATCAGCTACCCAGAATGGCTCCAAACTCTGCAACCACCCTAGGAATCATACAAGAAATTTTGGAAGAGTAGAAAAAAATTTTAAGTCCAAGTTAAAAAAATATTTAAGAGAATTCTTTTAAAAGGTATCTGGTTTTCAAGTTGCCCACTCTTGAAACATGCCCTATATCATAAAATTAGGACTGTAAACTGTTTTTTGTTTGTTTGGGGCCGTGCTGCGTGCTGCGCGGCTTGCAGGATATTATTTTCCCGACCAGGAACTGAACCCGGGCCCCCGCAATGGAAGTGCATAGTCCTACGCACTGGACCACCAGGGAATTCCCTGTAAACCGTTTAATATACTAATGATTAACCACTACCTCTTTTAACGCTACAGAAATGAAAATTCTCCAGAAATTAAAATATAATCTCATGTCCTTTTTTTTTAATAAGTAGATTCAGTATCCATACTGTCACTACACACAGGACTTAGACTAAAATGTGCCGATCTATGGCCACCTTGGCTTTCTTCTCCAGGGCCACACGTGGTCACCAAAAGTGTACACTCATCCCCCCAGGAGAAATGGGACCACTTGCCAGTGGAATTGAGAGAACTACTCTCACCTGTATATCTTAATTTCAGAAGTTTATTTCACCAAATAAGCTATGAGAAACTACAGCACCTGGAACAAGTTGAAATGTCCAAGTGAGTCATATCAGTCATTCATTTAACACGGAAAAAAAATTTTTTCTTTATCATTTATGACAATCCTCCAAATTAATCCATTTGTTTAATCAACAGAAAAACAATAAATCAAGAATATCCAGGATCTTCCTTTCTACCCTTCAGGGTACTGCTACTGTGGTATCTCCTACCAGCACACGCAGCAAATGACTTGAGATAAAGTCCTTACTCACAGGTGCAACACTACAATCTGCATTTACTCTCCCTACCTACTACAAAACTACACATTTTTCCTTTTAAAAGATAAATTTAGCTAACAAGTAATCTTCACCAAAATATCCTCTGAAGCCATTATTTTTCTTGCATTATCAAAAAAGTAGTGTTAACAGCTGGTCTTTGAGAAATGAACACTCCTTCCCACAATATTTAAACGACTGGTATATGCTGAACGACTCACCAGACACCTGCTGTGTAAGCGAAGGTTTCTGAGTATGATCTATATGCCATCCGACTAATATGTCAACTGTATCCTGGATGGAGACAGAGAAGGGGACTAATCATTTTAAGGTCTTATTGCTATTCCAACCTGTGGAACATTTCAGAGTAAGAGAACCTAGAACATCTTATGTCCCACCTTCTTGACATTATACATTAAAGCGGGGTTGGGAGGGGCAGGGCAGGAGAATAATGGAACTTTCTTTATGATACTGATGAAATATTTCTTTAAGTATGTTAAGGTATTAGTGTTAGCAAGTACAGATAGTATTTTTTATAAAACTACATTATTGCATCATTCAATCCTGGACCTTAAAACCAATTATACTCAAAGGAGCAGAAACTTTGTTTTCTATCTAATTCCCCAGGTCCTCATACATGCAGCCAATCCCTTACCCCATCATCTGGAAAGAGGGGGCGGGGAACTCACCCTAAAATTAGTGCTGAAAATATGAGGGTAACATCGAGCTACCAAAAGAATGCACTTAACACATTTGCAAAGTAATTCTGGTGTATCCACATTTTCAAGAATGGACTGCAGGCTGGTCATTACAAGCTAAAAAATAAAAGTTACAAACCGTGAACATTTAATAAAATAGGGAGAAAACAAGCAAATTAGGTTCATTATTTAATAGTGACTATAGCCAAAACTGACTATATCAAAGAAAATAAATTCTATAGTTTTAGTTCCCAAAAAAGTTAAAAACATTTCAATCCACTGTTTTCCCCTCATTTAACATCTGTTAACGTTATTTCCTAAGTAACATGTTTACATTGTTCCTAAGTGCTATCTTCAAAACCATGGGTGTGATTAAAATTTCAAGTAGAAAAACTAAGATGTGCTTGGGAAACTTGTCTTTAAAGGTACCAGAATTATTTTCCAATTCAAAACATAGAGCAGATGTTGTACGACTTATACTTTAAGATATTAGTACTTGCTTCAAATTGGAATGATTTAAAGAAGGTTAGCATGGCCCCAACACAAGAATGACACAACAGGCTCATGTTACCACTATATATATTTTTGAAATAAATATATGGCATACTACCTATAGAATATTTTGCAGCTAAAATTATTTTTGTTAAAATCAATTTTTTCCCCAAAAGGAAAGTTCTTCTCTACAAAAGAATGATGTTATAAGTATAGAAGAAATGCTACAATTAGAAAACCACCATTTTGCAACAGCCAATGCTATAATCTATACAATGCACAGAATATGAATGAATGCTAAAATCAAGTGAAATATTATGAAAAAACCAGGATATTCAGGAGGTCTCACAGTATCATGCCCACATTACTCACTAATTACAAAGGGAGAAAAATAAGCCTTCACAATGGAAAGATCTGGTTGGTCATCACCTTAACCAAGTGATGAAACTCTTTATCTAAGAGTTACGTGAACCTGAAGTTAAATGCCTGCTAGTGTGATACAACACTAAGTATGAACCCATGAAGTATTCGTGACCAAAATATTTGAACTGAATCTAAACAGGAAGGAATAATCAGACAAGCCCAAAACATAGAACATTCTACAAAATAAGGGGGACAAAAAAGGGCGCAGAGAATTGTTCTACTTAAGAGGTTAAAGAGGCACACCACCATCTTCAAGAGATTAAAGATTCATCAATACATGAACCCTGATGGGATCCTGGGTTAAGACAAAAGTTATAGACATCTTAGTGGCAGCTGCAAAATTTGAACATGGATTGTCTTATGTGACAAAATTAATTTTCTTAGGTATGATTATAATGTTAATATGAGATTAGCCTTAACCTTAGGAGAGGCATGCTGAAGTATCACAGCATAAACCATCATGATGTGTGGAATTTATTTTCAAATAGTTCAACAAAAAATCGTGTCTCTGTGTGTGTCTGTGTCTGTGTGTGTGTAGAAACAAAACAACTGCAGCAAAATGTTAATAAGTGACAGATCTAGGTAAAAGATATATGGGTGTTTAATGTACCAGCCCATCTGTTTTCCTGTGGATTTAAAATTTTTCAAAATAAATACTTGGGGAAATGTTCATATTATGAAAACTGTATGCAGAATAAGCCAAATTTGGTGTTATGCTGGTTAGTTACAAATTATTTTCTGCATCTTTTCCAAAATTTTGTCACAACCTCTATAATCAAATAAAAATAAAATTTTTAAAGACAGAATAGATTTCTCATGTTTTTTAAAATTAACCAAAATAAAACATACCATGAATTGTTTAATAAAAAAAGCAAATTAAATAAAGATATCAAATATTCTAAAGACACCACATCCTAAATTTTTAAAAACATTAGCTCAACAAAAATTTAATTACTTATAAGTTTGCTCAAAATTAAATTGGGAATGATCTTTTAATAATTCAGATACAGGGACTTCCCTAGTGATGCAGTGGTTAAGAATCCACCTGCCAATGCAGGGAACACAGGTTTGATCCGTGATTCAGGAAGATCCCACGTGCCGCAGAACAACTAAGCCCATGTGCCACAACTACTGAGCCTGCGCTCTAGAGCCCACGCACCCCCCACAAACCACAACTACTGAAGCCCGCGCACCTAGAGCCAGTGCTCCTCAACAAGAGAAGCCACTGCAATGAGAAGCCCGCGCACCGCAACAAAGAGTAGCCCCAGCTCGCCGCAGCTGCAGCAACGAAGACCCAACACAGCCAAAAAAATAATAGTAATTCAGACACACAATTATTTATTTTATATCACTAGGAATAAGAATTTTTGACATATTATCAAAACTTTAGGCCCAAAATAAGTTGTGGTGTTTAGTTTCTATCTCCCTCAAAAAATGTGAAGCCCCCTTCTACGTGGCTTTCCTCATGGAGCTTCTATTTTCAAATCTGTAAGTGATTCTAGTACTACGCAAATTCAAAAGAAAGCTTCTAAAAAGCAAAAAGACAAAATTTTTAAAATAACTTACTTTAAATCTACCTTCAGTGTGTATCATTTACTCTAATTCAGAAACACGAGTTTTATTTACATCATATATCAATCAGTATATAACCCCTATTCTAAGTTTCCTTTCTTCAAGCTCCCCTTCAAGGATGTGTGTTAAGGACAACTTTCTTCCCAAGCGCATCATCATTCCCCCCAACCCTCCAGAAATTCTTACCTGCATTACGGATGAAAAGGCTTTCTTTTCTCCTACAGTCTCTAGTGCTTTGTAGGTGGCACATAAGTAGAGGAGTTTAACTTCATCTTTTGCAGATGAGCTAAATTTGCTAAAAATCCATTTGAAGATCTTCTCAGCCTCATAGCTCAGAGAAGCACAAAGAAGGCCAAGACAGCAAGCTCCCTCCTGTCTCAACTCCTGAAGCAATTTGCTACTGTGTTTATTTTAATGCAAACAAAACAAAATACACAAAAAGCTTAAGCTTTCAAAGATGACAAGAATGACACATCTTACAACAGAATGTCTTAAATGATTTTATAATTTTTATTCAAACTACACAAAAGGTTGAAATTTTATCCACTTTAAACATTCTCTCTATTCTGTCTCCTGCCATGCCAAAAGTACCTTTGTTAAGACTTTAGATTTTCTTTTATAGAATGAATTATTTACGAACAGTAAGGAAAGGCTTAGAAATACTAAAATTCAGACTTCAAATTCCATCTCAAACTACATTAACTGATTTGCAGAAAAGGGCAGCAACAAGTGATCAGATAAAACACACTATATAATTATATACTTGGTAATATTCAATATGTAAGGACTATAAAATAGGAAATGGTAATAGTTAAATACAGTAAACTTAAAGGACAACACTGATTTAAGTATTATATTATGAGAAACTATATAAAATAAAACCATCAAAAAGCAGTAAGGTTTGTGATCTGCTGAGATGAGTTTTGGATGCTTTCCAACACTGCAATTCTTTGGGAATCACCATATGAAGAAATGACTGCACACCTTTGGAGAGCCCCAGTAGCCTCAGAGGATAGATGGCCTGAATCCACTGTTGCCCAAAGAAGGAAGCTCCCTTTCACCTCTACTCTCTAAGCAGTTTCCAAATGCTCTAGTTTACAAAAGTTAATTGCATTCATTCACACTTGCATTAAGCGTTTATGTCATTCTACAAGTCAATGCTCAATTATTCAGTCATGTTGACAAATTAAAAAAAAAGAATGGCTCTCCCTTTCAAGTGGATTCGTTTGTATTCAGTGGTAATTACTGTTTAAATACTTTTACACAAATAAAAATGACAAGAGAACCCAGTTAAACATTAAGTAGATGTTCATAAATGAAGCCAATGGGTTTATCTTCTTGTACACTTTTTAATAGTTTCTAAAAATATATTTTAGTCTTTTTAATTACTTACCTTTCATTAAGCACATCATGTACAGCAACCAAGATATTATCCAATTGTTTAACTAGTACCTTAAAAAAAAAACACATTAATAAAAACTTCAGACTCCTATACTTTTAAGAATAACACTGTGTACTTTTTTTTTTTTAACTTGTGTTTCCCTCCAAATTATAACTGGACCACACCTTACTTTTCTTATTATTCCCAGGTCCCAGTTATATCATAAGTTAAGAGTGTCATAAGTTTCCTTTCAGACTCTGAAAGAAATTTACCCATAGGAAATATACAGCCATGATCATCAATGGGGGGAAAAAAAAACTTAAAAAGCTTGTTTCATTTACTCTGAAATGCATTTTTAAAACAAAAGATGGACTGATGGATAGAGGAAGAGGTAGAGATATATGATAAAGTCATACGATAAAGTGTTAATGACAGAGCTTAGACACTATGATATTCACTGTAAAATTCTCTCAATTTGCTGTGTATTTGAAATTTTTCATAATAAAATGGGGAGGAGGGTTGGAGGAAGCTTGCTTTGAACCAAATGTTATTTGACTCACTATACCATTTCATTAATTTTCTCCGGTTCTATATCAAGTTCTTTTTTAAATTATTTATTTATTTATGGCTGTGTTGGGACTTTGTTGCTGTGTGCGGGCTTTCTCTAGTTGCGGCAAGCGGGGGCTACTCTTCTTTGCTGTGCGTGGGTTTCTCATTGTGGTGGCTTCTCCTGTTGCAAAGTACGGGCTCTAGGCACTTGGGCTTCAGCAGTTCTGGCACGCAGGCTCAGTAGTTGTGGCTCGGAGGCTCTAGAGCGCAGGCTCAGTAGCTGTGGCGCATGGGCTTAGTTGCTCCACGACATGTGGGATGTTCCCAGACCAGGGCTCGAACCCATGTCCCCTGCATTGGCAGGCAGATTCTTAACCACTGCCACCAGGGAAGCCCTATAGCAAGTTCTTAATTTAACATTAGGAGACTTACTTGGAGGATAAAGAAATTTGTAACTGCTCCTGTATTTTATTTTTTTTGTTGGCCGGGCCACACGGCTTGTGGAATCTCAGCTCCCTGACCATGGATTGAACCCGGGCCACGGCAGTGAAAGCCCGGAATCCTAACCACTAGGCAACCAGGGAACTCCCTCCTGTACTTTTACTCTTTAAAGTGTTTTTCCATTTATTTAGCCCAGGCCACCAAACTTACCCATGAACAAAATATGTACCTCCTACCCCAATTTCACATACGAAAAACAGAGATATTCTGTCCTGGAACACAGAAAAAAAATTCCGAGGACAACAGAATAAATGTGTAAAAGGTCAAAAGCACTTTATAGCAGAAGGAACCAATGTGGATCTAACATTTGTATAGATAAATTATACATTAGGGGCATTAAGTTCTAGACCATCATAATACAGGCCAAATCAATCTGGAATAAGGAATCCCTATTATTTTTCCTTGGAAGCAAAACTTTTCCCTTCTTAAAACCACTCTAGGTAACATTATCTACTGAACTATGGAAAAATGAAACTTATCAACATTTCCAAACATACTATACTGACCAGCTTATTTTCTGGTTGCTGAATAAATTCTTTCAACTGCTTTACAGTAGCCAGTCTTCGGTCTCTGTCGTCTTCCCGGGTGATCCTCCGAAGAAGATTCGACAGTCGAGACTCATCAGAATAAGACATCGATCGCTCTGTGAATATAAACATTGAGTATGAA